AGTAGGTGCTGCTCTTCTGGAATGAAGACTGGGCATATTTGCTTCACTTACGAGTAGGTCCAGATTTGAGCCCAGTTTCTTTAGAGGTAAAAAGCAACAGAGCTGACATGCAGTGGTAAAACCCCATGGCAAGTCACCTTGTCCTTTAAAATAAGAGGTAAATAAAAGTTCTCTGGGTTAGGAGAGGTTTTTTACAGCTATTTAAGAGGGGCGGACTGGATGGTAATGCAGGGTGCTGTGAGGAGATCTGAGTGTGCATCCAAACCCCAGAGATCTGAGAAGTGGGTAAGTAAGGACCACAGGAGGATTTGTTCCTGGAGGATGGAGGCCATTCTTGTCCTGCTCTCCTGTGACCCTTCCTGGAGGGAACATGGAGACTTTGGAGAAGGCTGCGGCCAAGCTCTCTCTACACTTGGAGGTGAAGTTGCCATGAGGAATGGAGATGGAAGAATAATAGTAGCTCTCTACACTTGGAGGTGAAGTTGCCATGAAGAATGGAGATGGAAGAATAGTATCCCTTGTGGCTGTAAAAAAGAAGGCTTTGAGAAGAAATACCCACTCCCCTGTAAAAAGTGAAATCAGTCCCATGAAGCCAAGTTACAAAGAAGATGGAGTCCAAGGAGGTCTGAAGTACTTCTCAAGCCTTTGCAGGGAGCTCAGTGCAGTTCGAGGTGTGCCAGGCGTGAAGGTTTTCAGGAAGCATAAGAGCTTCTTCTGTATGGCCTTCTCACCCGACCTCCATCCAGAATCCTCTCTTATGCTTTCACAGAGAATGCCTGTGTCTCCCCCAGCCTCTTCCAAGCATTTTCCTTGGTTCATTAGGTGATAATAGAAAGTGATTTTTCCCCTGTCATCTTGAGCAATCAGAAGCATTAAGAGTAAGAGCCTAAGCCTGAAAGCCTAAATGAGAGGGTTTGATGGGGATGTATATCTGCCTCCATTAGAGCACGAAGCAAAGATGGCTCCCAGAGTCTGCAGTTCTGGAGAACAAGGACCATGGTCAAGCAGTGTCAAGAGAAAACTGAGGTTTGGGGCTTAGATTCCATCCCCAGATGTGCTCAACCCCACAGAGCCTGTTTCCTCCACCTTTACTGCTGTGAAGCAATAGCTTGTCCCACAAGTGGTCCATTGGTGGACTTTGTGGAGAGGGGGACCCATCAAGTGAGAGCTAAGGGGGGCAGAAAATAACACCTGTAAGATCTCAGCCTAATCACTTGGTGCACAAATGTCACCTGAATTAGTCTGTATTCATGCATAGTGAGACCCAGTAGTTGCAGAGCATGAGTACAGAGCTCATGTCCTTCATCTCAGCCTCTTTAGGCTCCAGTTTCCCCACCGGTAAAATGAAGCTAAAAGCAGGGTCCTCAAGAAGGTGCTGGGAGGTGGGATGTTCTTTCTCCTTCTCGGTGAAGGTCACCTGAGAGATGGTGCTGAAGTGGCAGGGGCTGTTACTGCTCAGAAACTCCCCTGCTAACTCTGCCAATGGTCACAACAGCAAATCCATTTCTCACTGTCTGGAAGGCAAGTTCAACCTTCCACCACGTCCCCCTGGAAGAGACACACCTTGGGACAAAGCTGAGAACTTCTTGTTGTTGTTCTGGGAACTCTAAGACAGAACTCACACACAACTCTCCACTGTTCTGCCACCTTGTAAGACTTGTGGGGCATATTTCTTGGACTTCCAGAAAGAAATTCTTTGCTGTGAGGGTGGTGAGGCACTGGAACTGGTTGCCCAGAGAAGCTGTGGCTGCCCCATCCCTGGAGGGGTTCAAGGCCAGGCTGGATGGGGCTTGGAGCAACCTGGGCTGGTGGGAGGTGTCCCTGCCCCGGGCAGGGGGGCTGGAATGAGATGATCTTTAGGGTCCCTTCCAACTCTAATCATTCTATGATTCTATGAAACTGTGTTTAAGGGGGTAATTTATTTTTATTTCTCTTCTAGGTAGGATTTTTCCTGCACAGTCGATCCTCCTTCACGTCCAAAGGTAGGGAGCTCCGTCTTGTTGATGTGACAAATCTCTCTAATGACCATGCAACTTAATTTTGGGCCGTGTTGTCCTCTCGGGGTGGTTTCACATGGACCTTGTGCCATGTCTGCCTGATGGAAAACAAATTTATACCACGTCTCTTAAATCTGGCCACATCACTGCATGGAAAAGAGAAGGGTTCTGGCTCGCCTTCTCAAGATAGAGAGAAGGACAACCCCAGGAGGCTGCCGAGGCCAGCAGAGGCTGGGTATTCCTGCACCCAGGAACCCCTAGGGATGTGCCCCCCCTTCTCGGCAGGGTGCTGTCCCCCCCCGGGCCGCCCCCGCCGGGCTGGCGGGTGCTGCCGGCGCCGGCCCCG